CTGTCTGACTGAATGACCCGGTTCTGAAGCAGCCCCCCCCATCCCTCCCCCTCCCCTACTGAGTCGGACCAGGAGTTCTGCTGCGTCTTTTTTTTTTCCTTCGTCGTGAACCTTTTTGCTGTTTATCAAATAACTTTGAGCCACGGTCAGAAAAAAAGACGAGGGTTTTATATTTCTGGTCCGAGAGGAGGAAAGAAATGGTGGACTGAGGTCGACTGAGGTACTTTTTTGTGTTTCCTCCTCGCGACGCGGCGCGCATCAAATCAAACGTCTTAAAAAATAAATAAATTGTGGCATACAATTTTTTATCATATCTTCGGATCTACTTGGCCTAACAACACAATTTAAAAACTGGTTTAAAGTTTGAAGTCTCTGCTTTTCATTCGAAAGTCTCAGAGAGGGCAGATCTACAGGTAGAGTTTTTTTTTCTTCCTAAACTTTATTTAGCTCAGCCAGCATTGACAACACTCTGCGGGTGACGTAAACGGCTCCACAACATGGCGAGGGACGCATAAATCGCGGGACACAATGAATCGATAATGAAACTCGTAGCCATCGCTTTTAATAATCGATTTTATCGATTCGTTGTTGCAGCCCTACTTCAGTTTTGGGAAAGTTCTGCATGAACGTTATTTTTTTATATGATGTTAAAAGGCCAAACATAGACGTTAAAGCTCTGGTCTAAGGAGATTCAAGAAATCAGAAAAAGATATCAGTTCAGTTTGCAATAAAACATATTAAAACAGAATAAAAGCATTTTTTGCAGCATAAAATAGATCTTTGAAGTTTTCTTGAAACTAATATTTTAAATCTCGTCTCGTCTCGACAGTCTTATGTATCGTTACACCCCTACCTGACCTGACCTACAAGACTGAGGCAAACGTACCCGGGCTCGAACCTCACACTGCCTGAACCGACACTTCTGGCGGATTTTGTTCGGTCCTCCAAACTTCTTCATGTCCTTGCAGAAGTCACACTGGGCGCAGTCCTCAGTCCTCCTGCAGGGCTCACATTCTCCACACATACGGACCGAACGCTTAATCTGCAAAAGTAAACAATTAAAAACAAAACAGGCCACGACCTTCCAATAAGTTTTTGGTTTTTATAACASATGATGGCAAGTAAGTTTTCCTTTGATTATTTTGGTAATAGTTCACAGCTTACCTTAGATCCACGCCGCCTTTCGCTTCTATAGTCCGGCGTGCTCGGGGTGCTGTACTGCACTTCTCCTCTGTCTGACTCACTCTCCTTATCACGGCTTTTCTTTGATCTATATTTTACTTCTAAAGTTGGATTTTCTTCTGCAAACCCCAACCAAAACAAACACACACATGACGTTTAATGAGCTTTACAAATGAGCTGCCACTGCAATGACAGAAGGCTTTCTGCTCACCTCTGCAGCTCATGCAGTACCACTCCTGGATGGCTTTCGCCATCTTCTCAGTGATGTTGATGCAGTGSCCGTGGAACCACTCGTTACAGTTGTCACAACCACTGGCAGAGAGAGGGAAAACGCAACAACACTGATTTATGAGCAGCGCAGTATACGTGCTTCACATTAAACCGACTGAAGCAGCAGCAGATTGTTGGAAACTTACATCATGAAGCAGTTGATGTCAGGTTTACGACAAATGCAGTAAAGTGGAGCATTCTCCCCCTCCATGCTGCTGGTCTCAGGTCCCGGTGCACGATCAACATCAGACATTTCGCTGTCCTGAAAAGTACAAAATAAATAAAAATCCACATTAAGACAGATCAGAAGAAGCACTTTGATCAGCTTGATAAGGCAGCATGTCCAGAGCAGCACCTCTGTTTATTTGGAGATTTATCTTGTGAATATTGTCACAACACGAGCAATGTTCACTTACTACATCGTAGGTTAGCAGTGTTTGGAGAAATAGTAATAGTTTGCAGTTTTGCAGCAGGMCAACAAGAATCAAACACTAACTTTTGTTTACATAAACTGACGTTGTTGTTGTTAAACGCGCTWAAGTTAGCTTGTCTTGCGTTAAGTAAATTCACACATTAAGACCTTATTGACTAACTTAGTTACTGTTCCTGATAAAAGAAACAGTTTCAACCTAAAAGTGCATTCAAATGATTTTTCAACAGGACGTCCTGTTTGTAACAATGAAAAGCGGTAACTTAGCCAAGCTAATGCTAATGACACGGCTACATTTACCATAATGACACGGCTACATTTACCAGGCGTTTCCAAATCACAAGTCGAGCATAAAATAAAAGCTTTTTTGAACACTGACCATCTTTAAAAATCGTTCGGTCTTTTGTTGCGCTCTACAGACGCCGATGGCAAAAAATACAGTTAATATTCTTCTACGAAGCAGAAGCCCAGAGGCTCGCCAGCTAGCATTCTGCTAACCATAACACCGGATATCACTTCGTGTAGACTCGGCTGTCTTCGGAACGTCAACTTCTTCTTCTATGATGTCAAATTAACAACCGACCGACACTACTGCCACCTTATGGGCTTGTCCAATGGAACAAAAACAATACTTTTTAGATCAGAATACTGTATTTCTCATTTTATTCCACAGAGCATTTTCTTCTTC